CCATGGTTAGATCAAAACCTTTGGGTTTTCTTGGGCTGCAGCACTCTCTTCCAAGGACAGGTACACATCACAGCGGTAATATCAATTGATATCAAATTAACGCCCACCCCCTCATGGCGCATCCACTGTGGCTTTGAAATATTGCCTTTGTTAAAAAAAAACCAAACCACCCCAAAACTGCCGCAGACTGTCTGATTCCCAAATGCAATCCTATCTACTCCAACGGGATTACACGGACATTATTAAATTCAAGACTGGGCCCCTTTAATTGTTTATATAATTTTTAAACAGTTTTAGCTTACCACGGTTAAGCAGCTCAAGCATTTTAAAACCAGGTGGCAAACCGATGCCCTTTCACCTCCACATAAAAAAAAAAAAAATTATTTATGTGGATGTTAAGCAGGGGTGGAGCACGCGAAGCTTTATCTTCTCGTGATTTAAATCCCAGGCAGCGTTCCGTTTGGAAATTACACCAGATGGATTCCAGAGTGCAGCTCAAGGTCACCTAAATCCTGCGTTCCGCTCCGAACGGCAAGCACGATCATCACGAACCCCACAAAGCCACCAACAGAAACGTAATACGCTGCCAGAGACCCGGTGATCTTCTGAAAGAGCGCTTTAAACGCTCCTTCCCCCCCCCGGCTGCAAAGACACAAATAGCCCTTGTTTAAAAGCGATACGGGAGGAAGGCGATCTCTGCGCCCGTCGGTATCGCAGGGGAAGCGCGCTCACGCGGTTGCCTGGTCAAGACGTGCTCTACACGAGCTGGTGGTTGGCTGGCCAGAAGGTTCGTTGGATATTGGTTTATTCTGGACAAGGTGCTCACCTGCAACTGGAGACGGAACACTGGCTCTTAGGGCTCCACCACCACGACATTCTGCGTACGACGCAGTGGATAATCCATTGCCAAAACAACCCAAAGGCATCTAACTTACTTCGAACTACCCCCCCCCTTTTTTTTATGAAACCATAATTTTATATATATACATAAATAATTATACTTGAGTAATAATTTTACTACATTGCAGGACTGAAAGCTTCTTTGAACAGCAAAATGTCACTGAGTACCACACCACCGGGTGCCCGCCGCTCTATTTTTACCACCGTGTGCTCCAGCCCAACGCCCTGCCTCCAGCCTCCCCCTGTGCTCGCCGGAGCCGGCTCAAGGTGACGGCCCAACCTCTACGGCAGCAGGTCCCCCAGCACCCGAGAGCAGCGCCGGGATCCGGGTGGTGAACTCCTGCGCACAACGTGGCTTCTTTAAGCACAAAAAAGCAACACCAGGCATTTAAAAGAAAGGTTGTTGGCGACTTCTCTTGCGTTCTGAGATCGTTCAGTGTCTCAGGAAGACCCCGTTGCACGCCAGCGCGCGACACAGAGGTTGTCCCACGTTTCTTATACTGTTGCCGTCTTCGATGCAGCTGTTCACCCTTCCCCTACCTTAAATTACCATTTTTTACACCTTTCATTGCTGTAGAGCTCATCTCTCCCCTACAGGGACAGGCTGAGAGAGTTGGGGTTGTTCAGTCTGGAGAAGAGAAGGCTTCAGGGAGACCTTAGAGCAGCTTTCCAGTGCTGAAAGGGGGCTGCAGGAGAGGCGGGGGGGGGGGCTTTCTCACCGGGGGGGGG